AAAGAGAGAGAGAGAGAGAGAGAGAGAGAGAATTCTGCAGAAAGCCATATTTGATGACAGTCATATGTACGACTTTTAGGGAGGTGCTAATGGGGTAAAAAAGTCAAAATAGACGACTTTAGTTTTAGCCTTTATAAAAAAAAAATTGATTCTTCAACCCATTTCAGGCTCACGGTATAAATTGCTCCAAACACTGGTGTGCAATCTAATTTACATGAAAAAATCCCAGAATTTGCTAAATATTTTGATACACTAAATTACATTATTTCTTTCTTTCAATGGAACGGGAAACCTACTCCTCTACACTCTTGGCCACTGTGGACTCACGACCTGCAAGAGCCAATGAAAACATCAGATAAGACTATTAGAGGAACGTTACCCAGTTTAACCAGTGATAACATTTATTGTTTAACATGTATCCTAAACAAGAATCACCATCAAATTTATTATAATGATGATTTTAAAGATGATGATGATGATGATTTCAAACATTTAGAGAAAAAAAATTGGGAACCATTGTTAGATGCTAGAAAGTATAACTGACCTCAAGAGTGCTAAACACTAATCTCATTCGGCTAGCAACAACTGATGGCTCCTCAGCATAACCCACCACTGCCATTTGCTCAAGTTGAAGAGTCTTCACTGGAAGCCTTGGGTATACACAACAAAATATAATGTTACTTCTTCTTAGTTCAAGTATCTACAATGTCGATTAAGACCAAAGACCAAAGCTTACAGATGGTTAGTAAAAGGAAACAAAGCACTTCAGATCATGAAGGAATGATGACGTATTTTAAGAGCTACCCAAATATTTGAATTCAAAACAGAATACGATGACAGCAACTCACCAGGCCATTCCTCTCATATAGTAAGCATTTGCTATAACCGCACAAAAGCCTTTCCACTGAAGTATCATTTCCTCTGACACTGGAGGCGTGGATGACCATCGAACTATAGTTGGTTGTGGTGTACAGAGGATGGTGATGAATATGATGCTCAACCACAAAATACACTCATCAACCTGCAATGTGAAATACGAAATAATTACCCATCTCACTTCTTGACCATTCCAGTAGATGATTAATTTTTTTCTGTTCATGTGGAAAAAAACTGCATGTCCCATCAAAAGAATTAGAATGATCAGATCATTGAACTTTTTTTTTTTAAAAGAAATTGGAGAAAATGAGGCAGAAAGGGTAAAGAACTACAATTTCCCATCAAAGGTTTGCTATATGCGTGTGTGTGTGTGTTGGGGGGGTATCACCGGCTGCTCTAAATGGTTAAGCTGGTAGATAGGAGTATACATTAGGTATTTCTCTAATACGTATTGTGGATGCAACGATGTTAGTGACACATCTCGTTGACTAGAAGTTAAGCTCCTTGTTGTTGGAGTGACTCACCTCCTCAGTAAAAATCTTGGATTTAAGACTGGTGCTTCCACCATAAGTTTGCATTGCTTCAATTTCAACACCAGTTTCCTTCAAGTCAGTAAGTTCTTTCCTTAATCCTTCATCAGTGCATCCCAGTGCGTATGCATTTACCCCAGCGCTGATGAACTCCTAATACTCATTATGCAATCAAAGTTACTAATGAAACACAACAAAGTGAACTTGAAAGGATAATGAAACAGATCAAACGAACAACTCAATATACTTTTAGGTTGTCACCTCCTCCGCGGTCGATGAAGTTCCTATAGCGCCTAAACAAACTGATTGCTATGTTGCGTGATGAGCGATACTCATTTTCTGGTGAAATGGAATCTTGTGATCGGCACTGAAGCAATTTCGACAACGACCACACTATTCACCAAATACTACCAAAAACAAACAATTCAATGTAAAGGTAAATGTTTACCAGCCATATCTTCGAAGCAGATTGGTGTGAGAGGTGCTGGATCTTAGGTTGGGTACGTCCTTTCCAAGAGAAGGAAGGACTCTGCAACCCTCTATTACAAGTACCCTTCACAGAGCTAGGATAAATGACAGTATGGATCAACGGATTAACATGTGTAACCTTACAGGGTGCAGCCTCGTGTAGTATGTTAGGGTCCAAATGTGACAAGCAGTTGCTGAAAGCTCCCGGGGTGTGAACGGTCAACATATTTGAACCATGATATTATTACCTTCAAATGATAGAAAATACCTAATCACAAGGAGAGAAATGAGCAACAAAAGCAAGATTTTAAAAGGCAGCATTTATGCTGTATGAGACGCACCTCCGTACAAATTGGTTCTCAACCATTCAAAGGACTAAGACCTACAAAAGAGATAGCCAACATTGTAGCTTTTCAGCAGCCTATGACTCGGTCCAGACCATTCATAAAAGTTTCTCATTTCTTGATGCATTCAAACCATATTTGTCAATTGACACATGGTCTGCCAGTTTTTAGGATTTCTATGTGCAATCTTCATATACTTCATACCAAAGACATAACACGAATCACATATGCATATGATCCAAAAATATCTCCATAGTGTCCTTTGCAGTTATGATTAACGGATCTCCATCTAGCTTCTTCAAGGGAGGCTGTGTTTCAGGGGGGCTGCGGTTTGAGACAGGTCTCTTAGAGCCTATCTTTTCACCCTAGTCCTGGAAATATTCAGCTAGGTTTTTAATAGCAGAGTAAACAACAACCTGATCATCTTCATATACTTCATACCAAAGACATAACACAAATCACATACATATATGATAAAAAAAATAGGGTCCCAAAAATGACAAGACAATATCTATATAAAATTGGCATTTCACATGCATCTCTTTGTCCTGATAATTTTAATTACCAATATTTTTTTTTCAACATTAAGAATTGAAAATTACAAGAACCAGGGCCATTTGGGAAGCAGCAACTCCATTCAGCTTTCCCTAGCAACATTACAATATACCACAGCATAACAGTAGCAAACTAAGAAAAATGCTTAAAATTGACAGTGATTCAATCATCTAATTACCATGTTAATTCGGATTCATCAACAAATCAGAGACATAAATAAAGCCCACAGTTACATATTTTAGCATAGTAAACATAAAAAAATAATCTTCTTCTTCTTCTTTGTATCCATTTCAGAGAATTTGAACAGTTATTAAGAATTAATTATAGGGTATTTTTAAGCTGCCTATACTTGGTATTTGATCATAAATATAACTTTTTTCCGTTCAAGTGTATATAAGAACATCTCTAATTCGAAGTTGATTATTTCTTACATAATATTTTGTTTCTTTTCCAGCTTAAAGAACTGAAAAATTTAAAGCAGAACTCACCTTGTCATGGTTTAAGATGAACTCATCTGCAGAGAGAGACTGAGAGAGAGAGAGTGGTATATGACAGAATTCAGAGCAACAACACAAGCTTAAGAAGATCAAGAATCTGGGTTATTCTATATACATGTGGATTTATTTGGATATGAAGTTGTAATTGAAGAATCTATTGGGATTTACTGGGGGCCACGAATATTATGAATGGTTCTGGTGTTTCTTCACAATGAATCCCTTATATAATTTCTGGTTGTTGGAGGTTGTCATTGACAAAGGAAAGTCCAACATACATGACGTCGTTTTAGCATACGGGGCTGAAGGCAAATCCAGTAAGCAGTAACCCAGTCCGTAATTAATTTACAAGATAAATAATAATCCTGTTCATTCATTAATCACATTATTTTGAGTTATATTGGGTACAAATTTTTCAGTTATATTGGGTCATTTCGAACTGATTCTTTTGGGTGCAAAATAAAAATATAAAAAGTGAAATAAAAAATTAATTAAAATTAGAACCGTTTAAAATAATTTTTAAAAAATCGACTTCTCCTCGGAAGTCTTTGGATAAATTTTATTTTTCAGCTTGTTGATACTAACAAAAGTTTTTTTTTCCCAAAAAACTAATGAAAACATCGCCCCATAAACTCAAGGCCAAGCAGAACAACCTGTTTTCTGCTAAAATCAAAAAATAAAAAATAAAAAATTGAAGTTTTCTGTCAACTCTAAACAGACTCATTATATTCTTACTAAAATTCCCTGTAAATAAAAATCTAAGATTAAATCTCATTTCACTCTCAATCAAACTAACCACTTATAGTAGTAAATCTTAATTTAATAATTTAACTTTCAATTAACCAATAATCTCATAAATTGCCAGTTCGGGATGACATCAAACATCGGACATTTTAGACATAAATGCTCCGTTTGGTAGGGAAAATAAAAAGTAGGAAGGATGAAAAGTAGAAGAAATACATTTTTTATCCTTCAAGGATGAAAAGTAGGAATGATACATTTTCTTTCCTTTGTATTTGGTTGGATGGATGAAAAACAAAAATGATTTTTTTTTTTATTCTGGCTAAGATTAAGGGTGACAATCGAGTCGTGTCATGTCAAATTCGTGTTGAGTCATTTACGGGTTTATGTCTGATGATACCCAAGAGGATTTTTAGCCAAGTATGAGGCCAAGAGCCAAAGTTAGGTCAGGAGGTCTGATCAAATACGCAAGGCTCAAGGGACCCGAGCTGGGGCTCCCCCCAGACAAGTCAATAGCAAAGAGGGTAAGGAAACAGTTGGATGACAGCGGGGCTGAAGTCCAGACGTAAAATTCTCAACCAATCGAGATCCTCTCCCCAAAAATCAAGGAAGATTTTGATAATATCACGCCTAAGAATCCTTAAGAATTGAAATTGCACTACAAATATTGTACAATACCTCCAAGATGGGGCAAAAGACTCGAGTGGCAATAGAAGCATACCGTAAATTCTATCCCCCATTATTAAAATAAAAGGAGCAAGAGCTTTAATTAAAAAATGAATTAATCGAGCTCCCAAATTGGTAAATCACTATATCTTCATTGTGTAAATCACCCCAATCCCCTAGAAAAACTTCTTACGATTATTGCGAGCTTGGTGGCTCAGATCCAAGCTGTCAAATATAATTTATACCTTCTGCTCATCCNCCTGGTGGCTCAGATCCAAGCTGCCAAATATAATTTATACCTTCTGCTCATCCAAGTTAATTTACACCATCAATGTCGAATATTAGTTAAAACTAACTTAACTCATTTAACTAATTGATTCATGTCGATTTGTGAGTTGACATGTTTATTTTCGTATTGAGTTTAAATCGTGTCATTGTGTTGGGTCGAAAATTTTCACTATTAGTTAAAATAGACATAATATTTTTTTTAATTTTTAATTTTTTTAAAATTTATTTTAAATATATATATATATAATAAAGTAGTTTACAATTCAAATATAAAAAAATAAACAAAATAACTTTTGCTATTCGCAGTTAAAATTGCTTTAAATTTTATTTTAAAGTTAATCTAACGACTAATATCAATACCCTACCACCATCGTCGTACCCCACCATCGCCGCTATTCTCATGGCCACCACAATTATTGCCACCCACTACAATTATCACCATCTCCTACCACTACCACTGCTGCTCACCATTTCTCACCTCATTATAAATTAACACTTAAATTCTTTTAACTTTTCTCTATATTTGTGATTTGATTTTGAATATGAATATAAATATGTTTATTATTTATNATAAAAAATAAAAAATTGAAGTTTTCTGTCAACTCTAAACAGACTCATTATATTCTTACTAAAATTCCCTGTAAATAAAAATCTAAGATTAAATCTCATTTCACTCTCAATCAAACTAACCACTTATAGTAGNAAAAAAAAAAAATTGAAGTTTTCTGTCAACTCTAAACAGACTCATTATATTCTTACTAAAATTCCCTGTAAATAAAAAATCTAAGATTAAATCTCATTTCACTCTCAATCAAACTAACCACTTATAGTAGTAAATCTTAATTTAATAATTTAACTTTCAATTAACCAATAATCTCATAAATTGCCAGTTCGGGATGACATCAAACATCGGACATTTTAGACATAAATGCTCCGTTTGGTAGGGAAAATAAAAAGTAGGAAGGATGAAAAGTAGAAGAAATACATTTTTTATCCTTCAAGGATGAAAAGTAGGAATGATACATTTTCTTTCCTTTGTATTTGGTTGGATGGATGAAAAACAAAAATAATTTTTTTTTTTATTCTGGCTAAGATTAAGGGTGACAATCGAGTCGTGTCATGTCAAATTCGTGTTGAGTCATTTTACGGGTTTATGTCTGATGATACCCAAGAGGATTTTCAACCAAGTATGAGGCCAAGAGCCAAAGTTAGGTCAGGAGGTCTGATCAAATACGCAAGGCTCAAGGGACCCGAGCTGGGGCTCCCCCCAGACAAGTCAATAGCAAAGAGGGTAAGGAAACAGTTGGATGACAGCGGGGCTGGAGTACAGACGTAAAATTCTCAACCAATCGAGATCCTCTCCCCAAAAATCAAGGAAGATTTTGATAATATCACACCTAAGAATCCTTAAGAATTGAAATTGCACTACAAATATTGTACAATACCTCCAAGATGGGGCAAAAGACTCGAGTGGCAATAGAAGCATACCGTAAATTCTATCCCCCATTATTAAAATAAAAGGAGCAAGAGCTTTAATTAAAAAATGAATTAATCGAACTCCCAAATTGGTAAATCACTATATCTTCATTGTGTAAATCACCCCAATCCCCTAGAAAAACTTCTTACGATTATTGCGAGCCTGGTGGCTCAGATCCAAGCTGCCAAATATAATTTATACCTTCTGCTCATCCAAGTTAATTTACACCATCAATGTCGAATATTAGTTAAAACTAACTTAACTCATTTAACTAATTGATTCATGTCGATTTGTGAGTTGACATGTTTATTTTCGTATTGAGTTTAAATCGTGTCATTGTGTTGGGTCGAAAATTTTCACTATTAGTTAAAATAGACATAATATTTTTTTTAATTTTTAATTTTTTTAAAATTTATTTTAAATATATATATATATAATAAAGTAGTTTACAATTCAAATATAAAAAAATAAACAAAATAACTTTTGCTATTCGCAGTTAAAATTGCTTTAAATTTTATTTTAAAGTTAATCTAACGACTAATATCAATACCCTACCACCATCGTCGTACCCCACCATCGCCGCTATTCTCATGGCCACCACAATTATTGCCACCCACTACAATTATCACCATCTCCTACCACTACCACTGCTGCTCACCATTTCTCACCTCATTATAAATTAACACTTAAATTCTTTTAACTTTTCTCTATATTTGTGATTTGATTTTGAATATGAATATAAATATGTTTATTATTTATCATTTTTTATTATTTTGTGTTTTCAAGCATAGACAATAACTAGTATATACATATTTCACCATTGTATTTTTATATGANAGTAAATCTTAATTTAATAATTTAACTTTCAATTAACCAATAATCTCATAAATTGCCAGTTCGGGATGACATCAAACATCGGACATTTTAGACATAAATGCTCCGTTTGGTAGGGAAAATAAAAAGTAGGAAGGATGAAAAGTAGAAGAAATACATTTTTTATCCTTCAAGGATGAAAAGTAGGAATGATACATTTTCTTTCCTTTGTATTTGGTTGGATGGATGAAAAACAAAAATGATTTTTTTTTTTATTCTGGCTAAGATTAAGGGTGACAATCGAGTCGTGTCATGTCAAATTCGTGTTGAGTCATTTACGGGTTTATGTCTGATGATACCCAAGAGGATTTTTAGCCAAGTATGAGGCCAAGAGCCAAAGTTAGGTCAGGAGGTCTGATCAAATACGCAAGGCTCAAGGGACCCGAGCTGGGGCTCCCCCCAGACAAGTCAATAGCAAAGAGGGTAAGGAAACAGTTGGATGACAGCGGGGCTGAAGTACAGACGTAAAATTCTCAACCAATCGAGATCCTCTCCCCAAAAATCAAGGAAGATTTTGATAATATCACACCTAAGAATCCTTAAGAATTGAAATTGCACTACAAATATTGTACAATACCTCCAAGATGGGGCAAAAGACTCGAGTGGCAATAGAAGCATACCGTAAATTCTATCCCCCATTATTAAAATAAAAGGAGCAAGAGCTTTAATTAAAAAATGAATTAATCGAACTCCCAAATTGGTAAATCACTATATCTTCATTGTGTAAATCACCCCAATCCCCTAGAAAAACTTCTTACGATTATTGCGAGCCTGGTGGCTCAGATCCAAGCTGCCAAATATAATTTATACCTTCTGCTCATCCAAGTTAATTTACACCATCAATGTCGAATATTAGTTAAAACTAACTTAACTCATTTAACTAATTGATTCATGTCGATTTGTGAGTTGACATGTTTATTTTCGTATTGAGTTTAAATCGTGTCATTGTGTTGGGTCGAAAATTTTCACTATTAGTTAAAATAGACATAATATTTTTTTTAATTTTTAATTTTTTTAAAATTTATTTTAAATATATATATATATAATAAAGTAGTTTACAATTCAAATATAAAAAAATAAACAAAATAACTTTTGCTATTCGCAGTTAAAATTGCTTTAAATTTTATTTTAAAGTTAATCTAACGACTAATATCAATACCCTACCACCATCGTCGTACCCCACCATCGCCGCTATTCTCATGGCCACCACAATTATTGCCACCCACTACAATTATCACCATCTCCTACCACTACCACTGCTGCTCACCATTTCTCACCTCATTATAAATTAACACTTAAATTCTTTTAACTTTTCTCTATATTTGTGATTTGATTTTGAATATGAATATAAATATGTTTATTATTTATCATTTTTTATTATTTTGTGTTTTCAAGCATAGACAATAACTAGTATATACATATTTCACCATTGTATTTTTATATGAAATTAATATATATATATATAGACAAATAAGATACATTTCAACACAAATAATTAACTTTTCATCAACTTTCTTTCTGATTTTAAAGGAATTGATTTTGGTGAGTTGGAAGAAAAGTTAATTCAACCATTTTTCTATCCTTCTTACTTTCCTTCCTTACCAAACATAATATTTTATTTATACCTCTAATGTTTCATTCTTCTAACTTTTCACCCTCTCATTTTTTTTTTTTTTTATNCATTATTAAAATAAAAGGAGCAAGAGCTTTAATTAAAAAATGAATTAATCGAGCTCCCAAATTGGTAAATCACTATATCTTCATTGTGTAAATCACCCCAATCCCCTAGAAAAACTTCTTACGATTATTGCGAGCTTGGTGGCTCAGATCCAAGCTGTCAAATATAATTTATACCTTCTGCTCATCCAAGTTAATTTATACCATCAATGTCGAATATTAGTTAAAACTAACTTAACTCATTTAACTAATTGAGTCATGTCGATTTGTGAGTTGACATGTTTATTTTCGTATTGAGTTCAAATCGTGTCATTGTGTTAGGTCGAAAATTTTCACTATTAGTTAAAATAGACAAAATATTTTTTTTAATTTTAAATTTATTTTAAATTTATATATATAATAAAGTAGTTTACAATTCAAATATCAAAAAATAAACAAAATAACTTTTGCTATTCGCAGTTAAAATCGCTTTAAATTTTATTTTAAAGTTAATCTAACGACTAATATCAATACCCTAAATTTAATAAGTAAAATAAGTTTCTAAGAGTGTGTTTGAAGTGACTTTTTAAAAATACTTTTAAAAAAAAGAGTGTTTGAAACTGTCCCACCACAGTCGTCGCCGTCGCCACCATCACCACCGCCACCCCCTGCCACCGCCCCCACCACCATCACCACCATCGTCGCCACCAACGCCACCACCACCTGCACCACTACCACCATCGTCGTACCCCACCATCGCCGCTGTCCTCATGGCCACCACAATTATTGCCACCCACTACAACTATCACCATCTCCTACCACTACTACTGCTGCTCACCACTTCTCACCTCATTATAAATCAACACTTAAATTCTTTTAACTTTTCTCTATATTTGTGATTTGAATTTTGAATATGAATATAAATATGTTTATTATTTATTATTTTGTGTCTTCAAGCATAGACAATAACTAGTATATACATATTTCACCATTGTATTTTTATATGAANTGTGAGGGATCTACCTTCCCATTACCGGGGATATACCTCCCTCCAAGAGCAATCCCCCCCATTACCGGGGATATCCCGCTCTCCATCAAAGGATTTCGGCTGACCTGCGGGGCAAACCCCCCACAGTAGCCTTTACCTCTGTCCCACATCGGGGAAAGAGTCGTCTCCCCACCCCCATATAAGCCGAAGCACCATATGAGAGCAGTACCCAAGTACCACAGTGTGCTACTTGGGTACTGCTCTCATATGGTGCTTCGGCTTATATGGGGGTGGGGAGACGACTCTTTCCCCGATGTGGGACAGAGGTAAAGGTTACTGTGGGGGTTTGCCCCGCAGGTCAGCCGAAATCCTTTGATGGAGAGCGGGATATCTCCGGTAATGGGGAGGATTGCTCTTGGAGGGAGGTATATCCCCGGTAATGGGGAGGTAGATCCCTCACAGTTTAGCTCTGGAACTTATAATGTAGTCATTGGGATGTACTTAATTATCCTGAATTGACTATACAACTATTCTGTTGATCAGATATTAGGATTGAAGAAGATGAGAGGAGGGGGTTTGTGGCAACTTGGGCAATCAATTACCCGTCGTCTTGTTCAGGCTGATAAGAAAACAATTGCTCGTCGATGCTTTGCATCAGAAGCTGATCTCAAGAAGACAGTTTTATATGACTTCCATGTTGCCAATGGTGGAAAGATGGTGCCTTTCGCAGGTTGGAGTATGCCAATCCAGTACAAGGATTCAATCATGGACTCTACACTGAATTGTAGAGAGAATGGCAGCCTTTTTGATGTTTCCCACATGTGTGGGCTAAGCCTTAAGGGAAAAGACTGCATTTCATTTTTAGAAAAGCTTGTCATTGCTGATGTTGCAGGACTTGCCCCTGGAACTGGGACTTTGACTGTTTTTACAAATGAGAAGGGAGGAGCAATTGATGATTCAGTGATCACCAAGGTGACAAATGATCACATATACCTGGTTGTGAATGCAGGGTGCCGAGATAAGGATCTTGCCCATATTGAGGAGCATATGAAGTCATTCACCTCCAAAGGTGGTAATGTGTCTTGGCACATCCACGACGAGAGATCTCTTTTAGCCCTCCAGGTCAATCCTCAAGATCCTTCGAATGTTGCATTTAACAATGGAAATTGAGTGACAAGTACTTTCTAGCATTTCAAGTTTCAAATTAACAATAACAGGACATTTTGGGAAAAATTGGCTCTATCTCATCAGTTGATGGCAGAATACCAATTTGTGAAATGAAGCTAGCTGAAATTGTTGACATCAAATTTTCCTAACATGGCTCAATTCGTGATGATGAATTCATTTGTAGTTGGTAGTATAAAGTATAATGGGCTATTCAATTTCCGTACGACTTAGTGACCTGTTTCTATGCTCCTCTTGTTCATTCAATTTTCCAAAGTATTGTCATTTTTCCATGTGATGTCTTCTTTGACAATGTTATGTATTTAGACACAGAACCATAGCTTCTATGGATTGATTCTTGTGCTTTGCAAATGAATGACAATCCTTCCCCCCCCCCCCCAAAAAAAAAAAAAAAAAAAAAAAAAAAAAAAAACANTGGATTGATTCTTGTGCTTTGCAAATGAATGACAATCCTTCCCCCCCCCCCCCAAAAAAAAAAAAAAAAAAGAACAAAGAAAAAAGAAAAAAGCACACATGCATGCACAAATAAGCATCTATCTGAAGAAAAAAAGGGTAGTGGGTTTGATGGTATGTATAAAAGTTTTTGTTTTTTCTCATTGGATCAATGGTTTTTAAGTTTCATCTGCAAAAGGTCACGGCAACCACTTTATACAACTAATATCAAAGGTTAGGTCTCTATCTAATCTATCCCTCATAACCCCATTCATGGGGACTAACCTATCCATTAAATTAGGCTTTGTCTCCAAAAGTTACTTTTCTGGTGGGGTTCTGATTTACATAAGGGTTTCTCTGCTGGTGTATGGTCTCTGAAACACATTGAATAGTTTTTCCTCTGCATGTTGATTCTTATTTGGAGTCCAAAAAATTTTTAGGGAAACAAATGGAGGAAAAAATTTAATCAAGGGTTTGGTTAATATGTTTTTAACGTCATCAGCAGACCTGTGCTTATGAGAATGAATTATCTCTCCGTGCATAGTTTAGAATTGCTGTTAAGTGTTGCCGCAAAGGGATTTTTCTCGATGTTTCTGGTGCAGGGGCCTCTTGCAGCTCATGTTCTTCAGCACCTGACAAAAGAGGATTTGAGCAAGATATACTTTGGAGAATTTCAGATGTTGGATATAAATGGGGTGCACTGTTTTCTCACTAGGACAGGGTATGTTGCTTTTCTGGTTTCCTTTCTTAAAATCACCACTTTATTTTGAATTGAAAATCAACTTACAGCTTTACCTTCTAATTCTAAGCTTATAAGTTATAACCCATCTTGCCTTTATCAAATGCTGATTTGGTAAGGTGGTTCTTTTGTCATTACTCACTAGTACTGAAGGCTTTGATTTCAATCTATGTGCACGGAAGAGTGTGGTACAACTATCCAAGATGCAACAATACATATTGCATAAATGGGTTCGAATCTGTTCTGTGCCTATCAATAATCAATGGATGGCCTCAAAACATAAAGTTTACAGCATTTTTGCAACCCAAGATGCAATATGTATTACATAACATCTCCCATCATAATTGTTTCTGATAAGAGTCTCTAATTTTATGCCAATTGTTTCATTATCTGTTAACTATATCGTTCTTCTAGTTTTGATATAAAGAAACAGTTCACTCAGTTCTTGNTCTCCCATCATAATTGTTTCTGATAAGAGTCTCTAATTTTATGCCAATTGTTTCATTATCAGTTAACTATATCGTTCTTCTAGTTTTGATATAAAGAAACAGTTCACTCAGTTCTTGTGATTTTGGTTGTTTTAGAATCTCAAAAAGTTTCAGATCTCTTCCTTAGGCTTGGAAAAATGGGATTCACCTAAATTTGGCTTGTAGCTTCTGATTGTTATTTAGAACCTAGGAGAGTTGATATGCAAACAGCTAATTTTCTGCTTAGACTATACAATATTGGGGAGTTCTAATAATTTTTGTGCTGTTCAAGGTTGAAATAGAATTACAGTTATCTCAAAAAAGAAAAAGATATAAATTGATCTTTGTGATGTGGATGTTTNAGGAGAGTTGATATGCAAACAGCTAATTTTCTGCTTAGACTATACAATATTGGGGAGTTCTAATAATTTTCGTGCTGTTCAAGGTTGAAATAGAATTACAGTTATCTCAAAAAAGAAAAAGATATAAATTGATCTTTGTGATGTGGATGTTTTTAGTTTAATTATCCCAGAGGTTATCTATATTCTTCGGGAATCCCCCGCCCACAACACCATTCAATATTTCTTGGCCCACTATTGTCCAGACCACCATGGCACTAGATCCAATGTGGGTCGGATCGCTTAGCCAGGCTTCGTACTGTCAACATCCCATTTTATCGTCTTCCCTCTTCTGTCTTGTAGTCTCTACTTTGAAAATGAGATGATTTGACTTTTGTGTATCATGAGATTTTTTAGGTACACAGGTGAAGATGGATTTGAAATCTCAGTTCCTTCCGAGCATGCAGTTGATCTTGCAAAAGCTATTCTGGATAAATCTGAAGGGAAGGTTAGGCTGACTGGATTGGGTGCTCGTGACAGTCTTCGGCTTGAGGCTGGTTTGTGCTTATATGGCAATGATATGGATCAGCACACAACACCTGTAGAGGCTGGACTTACTTGGGCCATAGGGAAGAGAAGAAGAGCAGAAGGAGGTTTCCTTGGCGCCGAGGTAATACTTAAACAAATAGAAGAAGGTCCATCAATCAGGAGAGTTGGTTTATTCTCTCCAGGACCACCTCCCAGAAGTCACAGTGAGATTCAAGATGAAAAAGGGCAAAACATCGGAGAGGTTACAAGTGGAGGATTCAGCCCCTGCCTCAAGAAGAACATGGCAATGGGTTACGTGAAATCTGGGAACCACAAGGCTGGAACCAAAGTCAAGATTGTGGTTCGTGGCAAATCCTACGATGGAGCTGTCACGAAAATGCCTTTTGTACCCACACAATACTACAAGCCATCTAAATAATTCTTTGGCATTTCGAACTCTTTGGCTTTCTAATTGTTAACTACCGTCGCATGTTTTGGTGAACATGAGTGCTGTAATCAATACAAATCCATTTTCTGTTGGTGAGTTTTCAAAGGTTAGAGGGTGGTATACTTGATATATCTGTTCAATCTCTGCATAATTGCATGTGTCATATATACAGATACAGGCCATAGCGGTCACTCTTGGCAATGAGACTACAATGACATGGTTTAGGCAGTGAAAACAAATGTAGATCCTCTTCTGTACAAATAGAATCAGTAGAGAAAACTACAACCTAGAAAGCATGTCGCTCACGCTAAGAGAAGAACAAAATCATTGGACTTACCAAGCTACTGAGAGAGAGAGATACAGGTACCAATTCAGGTGCACATTCCACTACAACCATGGAAATGGTGCATAGGATGTGCCTATTAAGTACTATAGAATGCAAAAAAGAGAGGGATGAACTTGAAATCAACAAATTCTGCACTAGCGCAGTAGTAAATATCACACCCGCTGAAGAAGAGGTAAATTGTGGGTGCCAATGTACTCAAGGTTCTAAAAGAATATGTTAGCCAAACTTCGGGCACTTCAAGTCAACCTTCATAATTGCATCTCAAGTTAACCTCCATGATTGCATCTCAAAGCTAACTTGTCTCTAACCAATCTCCGTGGTTGCACCTCAAGTAAACTTTTGTAGTTGCATCTCAAGACTACTTCACTTCTAGCCAACTTCTATGGTTTCACCTCATGACTATTTTACTTCCATGCAATCTCCACAGTTGTCTTTCAAATCTATTTCGTCTCCATGTAACTTTTAAAGTTGTCTTATAAGTTATTCAGCCTTCAACGGACAATCAACAATTTTTACAATTACTCAGCAGGCTACTTAACATTTTTTAAGAATTTGCCACATCTTTGAGCATCAGGCACCTCAACTCATGGGACCTCTTCCTTCAATCGGAACACGAGACACAAGTGTTTGAAGATTCAAATCATAACCGTGAAGTCATTCTCAGGCCATGAAACGTCCTCCAAAATTGGATATGACCTATCAATTAGATTACCTTGAGAGCTCCTCCCCAACTATCTCCAAATGACTTGTTCTTATCTCTTGCATATTTCTTCTTAACTTTGTTTAGGTTCTCGGAGTAATGATCGCCGACAACATTCTTCACTTACTCCTCTATCTAAGCATTCTCCCTCTTAGCCTAGCAAGTTCAACTTGAAGCTCGCCAACTCGAGTTTCTACCTTAGTAACGTTCTTCTTCAAGAAGGCATTCTCTACTCTGAAATCTTTAAGTTGTTTCTCAAACATGTCTGTCCTGATCCTATTAGACTCGGCTTGACTCTCGAGTAATTCTTGTCACTCGACTAACACATAAACAAAGTAAGTTAGTCCCTTGTACAAGTAACAATGAATGCTTCTCCTTTTTCTCGATTAGTCAAGCTCCAACCTATGAACCAAATGAAGTAACACAAAAAAAAAATGAGTATAGAAGAGATGAGAGAGAAGAAAATTAAAACACTAATCATTTAGGCAATAATAGCCTAAAAAGCATAAGTCTTCCAAAAACATACCTAAATTAATTTCATTCATTATATAAGGTACGAGGGATAAGAGGTGTTCAAATTTTTGATTACTTGCAAATTTTGATCTTATCGTACCCTATCCGACTCTATTGATCGGCTTCTCGAAAGAATTGGATAGACTAACGAAAGATTTTTTGGTATTTCACAAAAAATCGAGTAAAAATGTAGAATATCTACAAATTTTTCGGATTCCTACTGTACTCTATCCACACACACACACACACATATATTAATCCTTAAAAATTAAAATTCAAAAATCTAGAAACCCTAATATTTCATTAATGTTTATACTTTCCTTCTATATAATGCACTTGATGTTTGTGACTTTCTTATTATGTTTTATTGTAATTGTTTATGTATTATCGAATTTATTGTGTTTTCTTTAGTGTTATTGGTTTATCGTGTTAGTTAATTGATTTAAGTTACTTAATTAAATTCTTAAAATGATCTAAAAATTAATAATTAAAAAATATATATTAACTTGATTTGTTATTTGACTTTCTACCTGATTGTTTTGGATGGAATTTAGGTAAAAATAATACACTTGATCGGATAAGATAGATCAAGAAAAAATTCTTTTACAAAATATCAGATAAGAAGATAAAATATCATAAATTCTATTTATAAGGTAGGGTAAGCACCCTACGGGGGACAATTGTGGAGACCTTTAGAAGGCATTTTAGCCGACCGGCAGCCTACCCAACGCCCAAGTTCGGACTGTCACACAGCAAGTGAAGCCTAGCTGACTGGCAACCCACCAAGGGGAACCCAGTCGACCGGCAGGCAACTAAACCGAACCCGGGAGGTACCTAACTACCACTGTTTGATTGTCCACCTTCACAAGACGAATTCTACTTAAATATGGTTTAACCTAAGATCGAGAGTCTAGTCCAATACTATTTCAAATATATAGGAGCTGGTGATAAGATCAATTTTATCAAAACTTAGATTTTGAATTCTTTGAGATAAAGCTTCCTACAATTTTAAATAATGATCTCTAAGTATTAGGTAAAAACATTCAATTATAGCATATTCACTCTATACTATTGTTCGACTCGTTTTTAAATATAAACATTGGAGTTCTTTTGACTACCTTTGACCATCGATTCACTTAAATATTTTTTTATTTTTCAAGTTACTCAAGACTTCCTCTTCGTCCATACGGCATACTGACTCATACACACACTACCCGTTAATCAAAATCAGGTTAGGCGGGGTTCAACCACCCGTCCACTTGACTAATTAATCTATTGCCCATTCCCATCCCATTCAATACCAAAAGTTTATTTCGAAATAATCAAAACATCATAAACATTCCCGTTTTTAAGGAAATCGAAATAAATCAGTGATGAAATCGAAATTTTAATAATTTGATATGTTTCATAATGTTTTAAGATATTTTATAATATTTTAATACATTTACACAATTATTTGGAAAATATTTTGGACAAATAATTCTTAATTTTTTTATTTTATTTTTAAAAGGAATCAAAATATTTTTATTTTTTAAGTGATTAAAATAATATATCGAAATAAAATTTCACCGGAGAAGGGACAAAAGGGGAAGAGAATATACTAATAATCNTGAAATGAATCAAAATATTTTTATTTTTTAAGTGATTAAAATAATACACCGAAATAAAATTTCACCGGAGAAGGGACAAAAGGGGAAGAGAATATACTAATAATCCTGATTAATTAAATTAAAGATTCCGTTCAACAATTAATGGGAGAGTCCGCCCTTGAATTTGGACGGCAAGGTCCAGGTCGTCCATTGCCGAAACTATATTCGTCTTTCCAAGGCTTTTTAGTTGGTGCTGTATTAGAAACAAGGCCAGACCACAGACTACAGAGAGCCTGATAAGTAGATCTGAGATCATCCTCTCTCTCTCTCTCTGTGGTAAAAGAAGCAGAGAGAGAGAGAGATACTAAACAATGGGATCAGTAGCAAAGAAGGGGTTGCAGCAGTATTTGCTTCAGCTTCAGAAACATCCGTTGAGAACTAAGGTCTCACTTTCCTCTCTTCTCTCTCAAAGCTTTGACTTTTACTATGTGTATGTGTTAATTTTTGATTTTGATGAATTGGGTATGGGTTCTTTTTGGTCAATGAGTTTTATTAACGAACTGGGTGTTTCTAAATTCTTAGAAGTTTCAATTTTGGTACAGGCGATAACCGCCGGAGTGTTGTCGGCAGTCAGTGACATAGTGGCTCAAAAACTCTCGGGCATTCAGAAGCTTCAACTCAGGCGCCTTCTCCTCAAAGTGGTATAATTACAGCTTCGCCTTCTACATGTGTATATATATATGTGTGTGTGTGTGTGTGCTCTTGCCTGCAATTTACTCAGTTGTGGTTCGAGTGGATGTAGTCTGTAACTAGAAATGCTCTCATATATATTTGTGTGTGCCCTTGTAGTACAATTTACTGAGTTGTGGTTTAATTGGATGAAGTCTACAGTTAGCAATGCAATGTCATGCAGGTTTGGCAAAACGTTTCTCATTGACTTAATCCGAAAATGGAAAACTGCTTTCATTAACTCAGTGCACACGCATGATCCTATTACCAACACACCTCAAATTTAATATTAATGTTATTGAGACCTAGTTTTGGGACCTAATAAGGGACCTTATGATTATTAGATTAGTTGTTGGTTCCGACATTTATTGAAGTCCACAATCAATCCAATGTCCATAATACATTAGTTCCTCAAATCAGGCCCGAATAGAATTATTGAAAATTTAAACATCGCATAAATTGCGGTTTGTAAGACAAAATTTGATTTGTCTTGATTACTAAATCTTTCAACTGTTAATTAATTGAGATTTGTATTGCGCTGGCTTCTGTAATTTCAGGTCGTAGGTGTTGTAATATGCTTATAGGTTGTCCATTTTTATTGCTAAATTATGAGCAAAAATAGTACAAATGAATATTTTATGTTATCTTTCCCCTGGTCCTTGTTTCAGAAGTATGGTTTGTTATGTATATGAATATTTTGGTGGCTTTCAAGGGTTCTGTTTCTGAATGTTATCTAACTGAACACAATTTTTAAGAGAATAAGTGGTGTTTTTCTTACAGAAGTCAGTCGCTGTGTATTAAAATTTAATGGCACGGTGTGTGATGGAAACTTGTTGAAGGAAAGTGTTTGCATTGCATGAATGCCATGCATTTGATTTTTTTACCAAGCAATATTATATTGAAGTCAAGGATACCATGCTTGTTACTCAACTTCCTAGGAATTTATGTATTTTGGCTCATAACCTTAAAAATGGGACTTACGTAACTTCTCTGAATATCCTCTTAATGCTGTCTGCTTTGTAGAAGTTGTTCCTTCATTAGCCAAGTCACATCGAATAGTTACTGTTTGCCAGTCTCTCAGAAAATTTTTGCACATATGATTTGTGATTGTAAAATTGGGTTTCTTTTCAATCTTGCTTTTATGTCATTATTTGTGATAGCTGTTTCCTTGTATTTGATATAACATGGTTTGCCAAGCTTTGGTTGCTTCTGTGGCACTTGTGGGACCTCGAGAAGGTTTTAGAGCTCATTTTTTGGCAATTGTTCTGATACTAGTCAGCATTGGTCTTATACGTTGATCTTCATGCATGTATACCCAGTTGCCTATATAGTCTGTCATTAACACAACAAAGTGCAGCTTTTTGGATGTGCCTATCTTGGACCATTTGGGCATTTTCTTCATATATTGCTGGACAAACTTTTCAAGGGGAAGAAGGACACAAAAACAGTAGCTAAGAAGGTATTCTTTACACGATTGTGCACTTTTTCTCTGTGAGAATACATTCAAGTACTTGCATACTCCACAATAATGCAANGCCTGCACTTTTTCTCTGTGAGAATACATTCAAGTACTTGCATACTCCACAATAATGCAAACTCAAAGCGATAAAATACTTAATTTCCTGTCTCCTTGGCTACAAAACAAGTCTTAGGCACCTTACCTTGTCTTCTGCTTTCTCTGTATTCTTACACACCTTATTTAATTTTTTCAGGTGGTGTTGGAACAGTTGACATCTTCCCCTTGGAACAACCTGCTTTTCATGATTTACTATGGGCTGGTTGTCGAGAGTATGTATCACAACTTGTCAACTTTTACTAATATATAATAAATACTGCATCTGCAAGTATTAGACTATTGATTACAATGCGGAATTGCTAACTGGGCAAACCTTATATTTAATTTAAAGGAACAATGTTTGAGAATCTAATGCCCCGTTTGTTAGATAGATCCAGATGTAGTCATTATCAATCCTTGTGTATGAACAATGCCTTGTGGCTGAAGTTGAACCTCTCTCAATTTTTTCCATAATGAGCTTGGAAGGGGCAGATCGAGTATTATTACGTGATTAGACAGCAGGATTATTGTTGAATTTAATGTTCTTGAATGCACAGGTAGACCCTGGAGCCATGTGAAATCTAAAATCAAGACGGAGTATCCAAAAGTGCAGTTTGCGGCATGGACAGTATGCATACTTTTTGGTTTTCTCATTTGTTTTCTGTCATGTTAGTCCTGTTTTATAGCAACATGATCACAGAATTACTGAATGACGGCAACAAATGAACTTGAAGGTTGGGCCAGTAGTGGGGTGGGTAAATCACCAGTACATACCTCTGCAGTTCCGAGTTATCTTCCACAGTTTCTTTGCTTTTGGCTGGTATGTACATTTTCCCCATGTATTTTCCCATTTCCAGTTTTATTGCTGATTTCTTCTCATTTTCATTTGCATCATATACCAAAGATGTTTGGTTTTCCATTTCTCTTCCTATCTTTAGGGGGATATTCTTGAATCTTCGAGCGAGGTCTATGGTGCTTCCAAAAGCTTAAGCATATGAAAGGGATTTGTCAACGCCTACAATTGCGTTTTATGTAGTTCAAAGATTGCAAGTTTCTATCAGAGCTCATATAAGTAGAAGAATGGTTGACGCTCTTGGAGCAACCATGTACTCATAATGTTAGATCTATTAGTTATTATGTTGGATTTACAGTGACTATGAAATTGAGGTTCTCAACTAGGGTATTTCTGCTGTTTGTTTTTTGTCGATTCAACTTCTGTTGATCGCTGTTGTCCTGTATTTATACTGGATTTTCAGCTAGAATTATCAGAAAAAATCTGAGACGCTTTGTTATGTTTCCTGTGTGCATGTTATCTGCAGCACAACATATAAGTATGATGTTGTGATATATTATCGCCATCTACACCTACAGAGATTTCAGTTGTTGCTGCGCTTCTATAGCGTGGCCCTATGCCATTGCACGAAAAAAACCTTTCATCCCGGACTAGAAATCATGGAATGGCTTCAAAGAGATGAGTGGGCATTGAACACTCACAAAACTGTACCTCCCTTGTTTTGGAAGGAGTGAAACAAGATATATAAACTGTACCTCCCTTGTTTTGGATTTCAGTGAGCTTAAACAAGATACATGAGTAATTATAATGCAAAAGGTTGGATGCATGCATCGAACTGAATTGAATCGATCTTTTTATGTATCTTTTTAATTCGTGATTGTAATGTAAATCTCGAACGTATACAATTACCTAATCTAATGGGTTTTATGGATCATATAAAGAGTATATGACATTGAAAATTTTGGATCAAAGTTTGAGACACCTGAGAATGTTGAGCATGCTAATGAAGAACAAGTATTGCCTTTGAACAAATCTATTATTGCAGCAGTCAAACAAATGCTAAGCTTACTGCTCATCAATTACGACCCACCAAAAAAAAAAAAGGGCAGCGAATAGTCACCGAACCAAACACAAATTTTGCTTTCTTTTTCAGGCATAATCTCCTAAAGAACTACACCAGACCAACATTATTCTACCAGCAAACTTAGCGGTACGTATAGTAGAAGATTACTTGACAGATCAAGACCGTTGAAAGCAGTGTTGATTGGACACTGATCAGAGCTAATTTTGAATGACTATGTTATAAAATTTCATAAGACCCCATTTTGGAAAGCTTTCGGCGATCTGAGCAAGATTGAAGACTCACCGCCTTCAATCCAATCGGTTTTTAATCAAAAAATGACGTTTAAGACACTTTTTTATTTTTATCCCGCTGTTGAGATATTTTTGTAATATTACGTATTTGCTTGGTTTTTCTAGTAATTTAAGACCTAAGATTTTTTATTTATATTGTGTTCAAATCTAATTCAATAGTTTTGGTTTATTTTGAATAAAACTTAGATACGAGTTCTTTTTCAATTCCTAATTGACTTTAGTATTTTTAAGAATCAACAAGGCTTTTGAAAACTATAATCTGATATTATCACGATAATCAATATATTATAATTTAGGTTGTCCGTGCCATGTACATGTTTTGTATCAGGAGGATGATACTTGCATTAATCTGCTATTATTTCATAAGCAATAAGTAAATATGCATGGCACTTTTCTTAATGTGCTGACTACCCTGAATTAGACATCTTAATATGCAATTTACATATGGCCCGGGTCTTTCTGAATATATGATTTTGTCATTAACCTGTTGGTTTTTTTTTTTCCCTTAGTTGTTGTTGAAGATAATTAAGCCCTTATCCCATCTTGCTCGTGCATAATCGATAACTAAGGGCATACCCAGTGCACAAAACTCTCACTATTACGGAGTCTGGAGAAGATTACGTGTGCGTAACCTTACCCTTAAAAGTAAAGAGATTGTTTCCGCTGCCTAATTGATAAGTGAGTAGATTATATTAATTTTTGTGATTAGAATAATATTATTTGACCTGTTAGGAAAAGCAAAGCAAAACGGTTGAGTTAGTTGGCCAAGCGCTTTGCCCCGTTGGCTATTTCAAAATGTTGCTAAATTTTGTTTTTGTGTTGAAAGTCAAAATAAGATCAGTTGAGAAGGTCAATATAGGAACTGTTAAGACCGTTCAGGCAGCCAAAAATGAAGGGCTAGATTAAAACCATCAGACAAGAAATAGTCTAAAATTTTTTTTTTTTTTTATTCAATGGTTAAAAGGGGTTTGACTCAATTTTTGCGCATCTCGACTAATATCTTTTCAGTTTCAGTTAAAGGCAGATCATGTATGCCAAAATTAAAGTATGCATAAGGAATAAATTTTTTATGACCCAACTTTAAAGAGTTATCAAGAACTGAACTCAAAATATTTAAGTGTACAATTTATTTCTATTACTACTTAAACTACCGGAGGAGATGAAATAGCCTAAAATTTCAAAGAGATGACAAACTGCAAAGGCAAGAAAAAGTCCAAGCCACCAGGTTTTTCAAACTTTTGAGCAGTAGCCTGTAGACCACTTCAGCCTTGGGTTTGTATGTCAGCTTCCTCCTATATATATGCTACCATGTAAGAACAACAATCCAAATCACCTTCTCTTCAAAGCCTAAATCATTCAACACTCACCACTACAAGAGCCCAAGAAGAGATCTAAACCATTCACACCCTCGTATATCACCATTTTAGTTGCAATAATAAGAGAGATCATTACAGGAGTGGACATGCCAACCCTTCAAGCTTCAACCGTTTTGTGTGCTACTGGTTCTATTTCCTCCCGGTGTCAAAGACGAAACAGTACTGTAGCCGCTATCAATCTTCCGAGACTCCGGACAAGCACTCTCTCCCTGCCAAACCTCCCAACTAGAGGTTTGGTGAAGGAACTAGAGTTGAGAAATGGCAATTACCCTACAACAACCACCACTTTCATTGAAAAACACTTCAATTCACCTAAGATTAGGCCTGAAACCAATGATTCTGATCCCATGATGATTACAAAGCTATATACTATAATGGAGGCTGTTGCGGATAGAGTGGAGATGCACAAGAATATTGGAGAGCAGAGAAACAATTGGAACAGCCTGCTTTTAACATCCATCAATGCAATCACTCTTGCTGCTGCAACAATGACTGGAATTGCAGTGACGAGTGCTAACGGTGCTCCTATGATGGCGGTGAAGACCGCTTCTACTCTAATGTATTTGTCGGCAACAGGGATGTTGTTGCTTATGAATAAAATTCAACCATCCCAACTTGTTGAAGAACAACGAAACGCTGCAAGGTTGTTCAAGCAGCTTCTTGGACAGTTTCAAACACTTATTTCAGTTGGTAGTCCTACTATGGCTGATGTGAAGGAAGCAATGGAGAAAGTTTTGGTTCTTGACAGGGCCTATCCTCTTCCTCTACTTGGTACGATGCTCNTGGCCCGGGTCTTTCTGAATATATGATTTTGTCATTAACCTGTTGGTTTTTTTTTTTCCCATTAGTTGTTGTTGAAGATTTAAGTAAACCCTTATCCCATCTTGCTCGTGCATAATCGATAACTAAGGGCATACCCAGTGCACAAAACTCTCACTATTACGGAGTCTGGAGAAGTTTACGTGTGCATAACCTTACCCTTAAAAGTAAACAGATTGTTTCCGCTGCCCAATCGATAAGTGAGTAGATTATATTAATTTTTGTGATTAGAATAATATTATTTGACCTGTTAGGAAAAGCAAAGCAAAACGGTTGAGTTAGTTGGCCAAGCGCTTTGCCCCGTCGGCTATTTCAAAATGTTGCTAAATTTTGTTTTTGTGTTGAAAGTCAAAATAAGATCAGTTGAGAAGGTCAATATAGGAACTGTTAAGACCGTTCAGGCAGCCAAAATGGAGGGCTAGATTAAAATCATTAGACAAGAAATAGTCTAAAATTTCTTTTTTTTTTATTCAATGGTTAAAAGGGGTTTGATTCAATTTTTGCGCATCTCGATTAATATCTTTTCAGTTTCAGTTAAAGGCAGATCATGTATGCCGAAATTAAAGTATGCATAAGGAATAAATTTTTTATGACCCAACTTTAAAAAATTATCAAGAACTGAGCTCAAAATATTTAAGTGTACAATTTATTTCTATTACTACTTAAACTACCGGAGGGGATGAAATAGCCTAAAATTTCAAAGAGATGACAAACTGCAAAGGCAAGAAAAAGTCCAAGCCACCAGGTTTTTCAAACTTTTGAGCAGTAGCCTGTAGACCACTTCAGCCTTGGGTTTGTATGTCAGCTTCCTCCTATATATATGCTACCATGTAAGAACAACAATCCAAATCACCTTCTCTTCAAAGCCTAAATCATTCAACACTCACCACTACAAGAGCCCAAGAAGAGATCTAAACCATTCACACCCTCGTATATCACCATTTTAGTTGCAATAATAAGAGAGATCATTACAGGAGTGGACATGTCAACCCTTCAAGCTTCAACCGTTTTGTGTGCTACTGGTTCTATTTCCTCCCGGTGTCAAAGACGAAACAGTACTGTAGCCGCTATCAATCTTCCGAGACTCCGGACAAGCACTCTCTCCCTGCCAAACCTCCCAACTAGAGGTTTGGTGAAGGAACTAGAGTTGAGAAATGGCAATTACCCTACAACAACCACCACTTTCATTGAAAAACACTTCAATTCACCTAAGATTAGGCCTGAAACCAATGATTCTGATCCCATGATGATTACAAAGCTATATACTATAATGGAGGCTGTTGCGGATAGAGTGGAGATGCACAAGAATATTGGAGAGCAGAGAAACAATTGGAACAGCCTGCTTTTAACATCCATCAATGCAATCACTCTTGCTGCTGCAACAATGACTGGAATTGCAGTGACGAGTGCTAACGGTGCTCCTATGATGGCGGTGAAGACCGCTTCTACTCTAATGTATTTGTCGGCAACAGGGATGTTGTTGCTTATGAATAAAATTCAACCATCCCAACTTGTTGAAGAACAACGAAACGCTGCAAGGTTGTTCAAGCAGCTTCTTGGACAGTTTCAAACACTTATTTCAGTTGGTAGTCCTACTATGGCTGATGTGAAGGAAGCAATGGAGAAAGTTTTGGTTCTTGACAGGGCCTATCCTCTTCCTCTACTTGGTACGATGCTCAACAAATTCCCATCTACAGTGGAACCAGCAGGATGGTGGCCTAAACAACAACGACGAAAAATGAAAGAGAATAGTGGGAAAATGGATTGGAATGGTTGGAATGGAAAGTTGGAAGAGGAAATGAGAGAGATAGTTGGGATTATGGAGAGGAAAGATAAAGCAGACTACTTGAGATTGAGCGAAAAAGCAGTGAAACTTAACAAAGCATTGGCTATAACTGGTCCTTTACTAACAGGTCTAGCAGCTGTTGGGTCTGCATTTGCAGGATCATCTCCTCATGGTTCTTGGGCTGCGGTACTTGGTGTCGTTGGTGGTGCTTTGGCAAGCATAGTGAACACAGTCGAGCATGGCGGGCAAGTTGGGATGCTGTTTGAGATGTACAGGAGCAATGCTGGTTTCTTTAGATTCATGGAGGAGTCCATAGAATCAAATTTGAATGAAAGTGATGTGGGAAGGAGAGAGAATGGGGAATTGTTTGAAATGAAGATAGCTTTGCAACTTGGAAGGAGTCTCTCAGAGCTAAGGGATCTTGCAGCTTCATCATCAATAAAGGGGGAGGCCCATGAAGAATTTGCTAGCAAGCTTTTCTGAAATTTGATCCTAAAAATAGACCGTTGCATGTACCCGTAGCACTAACCGCAGTTTATGTACAAATCGGCCTATAAACTGCTAACCCATTGATTAATTCATTCAATGTAATTTTGCAGCATTTGGACATTGCCAATGTGCATTAGATAAACTCGTTTTTTTAAATTTTTTTTTTTTTTTTTGTATATAAAGTTGACACAACAACTACTGTTGATGGCTATTGTCATGCATTCACGTGGGACATTAAAATGATCAGAAAAATCTTGGGCGAATTGCACTTCACACCCTGAAAGATTTAAAAATTCTCGCTTTAAACGGTCAATGATTAAATTTTTCACATTGCATCCATATATTAAAAATGTTAAAATATGATCCTTCCGTTACTCATTCTCTCACTACTCAGTACTCATTGGTCTGATAAATAGGATATAATATTCAAAATTTTGGATCAAAGTTTGAAACACTCTAGACTATTTACTTTTCTCCTTTGAACATATCTGTTATTGATGTCATTGAATTGCTTACCTCACTGCTGATCCATTTCAACCCACAATATACTGCTATGCTAGAACACCTGACTGTGCCTTGTACATGTTATGTATATGCATGAAGATATCATGAGATTAGTTGGATTTTGCTCTTCTTACATACTCTAATACAGTGCTGAAACCGAGGTAGAGATGAGAAATAGAGGTTAATAATTATGCATATTGACCGATATAATAATCGGGACAAAAGTTTTGTTTATTTGATTTAGTTTGATAACCATTAAATAATGTGCCAAATATTAAACATACGTAATATGCATGGCAATGAGATCTCTTTTTCAGTAAATATGCTTGGTTATTATAACATGAATTAGACGTCTAAAAATTAAATTTACATTATAGTAATAGTTGATTTTCTTTATGAACCTGTTGGTTTTTTTTTTGTGTAGTTGTTAGTGAAACGAAATAAACTCTTATTCTCTCTCACCTGTGATTAGTGATAATGATGTACACAAGTGGATTTATGCACAAGCAAATCAGTTGAGTGTGTGATGTAAAATAATTAATAAAACAATTAATAATAAGAGATAAATATTAGGTGGTTGGGTCTGACTGACCTAAGAACTCTATTAATGAGAGATTATAAGGTACTTGAAGAGAGAGAGAGAGGGGAGCAAGAGTATGCTTAAGATGTAGTGTGTGAGATCTGTTCCCATGTGTAGGGGGTTTATAATTTATAGACACAAAACCTTATCTTACGGTAGTGAATATATCCCGATAATTGCTCACATTGAGTTTTCCTAAACTCTTCACTTCCACTCCCAACCCCCCCTCTTTCTCTCTCTCTATCACAGATCCCTCAACCCTTTGCCCCTCCCAGCAATAAACAACATCGCTGATGCCACCACCACTCCCAACCCAGCTATCACCACCACTCCCAACCCCTTCTCCCTCTCCAACCCTCCCTCTCTCTCTCTCTATCATAGATCTCTCAGCCTCTTGCTCCCAGCAACAAACAACATCGCAACTGCCACCACCACTCCTAACCCAGCTGCCACCACCACTCCCAACCCCTCTCTCTACCTCTTTTTTCTCTCTCCTTCTTAGATCCCCCATGCCCCTTCCCTGCAACAAACCCCAGGTGCCACCTCCACCAGTCCCAATCCCCATTCCTCTCTCTCTACCTCTTTCTTCTCTCTCCTTCTCAGATCTCCCAAGCCCCTCGCCCCCTTTCTGCAACAAAACCCAACTGTCGCCACCACCACCACTTCAAACCCACCACTCCCAACCCCCTTTTTTCTCTCTCTACCTCTTAGATCCCCTAGGCCCCTAGCCCTCTCCTTGGAACGAACCCCAACTGCCACCACCACCACCACTTCAAATCCACCACTCCCAACCCCTTTTCTCTCTCTACCTCTCTTTTCTCTCTTCCCCTCAAATCCCCCAGGCCCCTCGTCCTTTCCTTGCAACAAACCCCAGTTGCACCCAACCTCCCACCCACTCAACTGCCATCACCACCACTGTTGGTTTTTTTTTATGGAGTCTAGTTTGTATATGTGATCCGGATGATGACCCGACCCGAAGTAATGTTGTGTGGTTTTTAATGGAAAATTTTTTAAGACTTAGTCCATGGTGATTAGGGTTTGTTGTGGATTGTACCTCGTCCTTTCCTTGCAATAAACCCTGTTGTTTTGGTGATTAGGGTTTGTTGTGGATTGTACAGCCGCTCTCTGTAATTCAACTCTCTCAATAGTGAAATCCCTGCAGCTTCGTGGACGTAGGCAAATTGCCGAACCACGTAAAATCTGTGTCTTGTTCTTTCTTGTTTCTTATTGCTTTATATTCTTGATTTGTTCTTCGATTGTGTGTNTATCATTTAGTCAAATGTCAAGGGGTATAAATATAATTTAATCCATTATATTTGTCCCAAGTTGATTGATTTGACCTTTTCAAAATAGCAAAGACAAAACGGTTGAGTTGGCCAAAGCCTTTGCTCCGTTGGCCGTTTCAAAAATGGACTTGACTACGATACTAAATAAAAAAAAATCCAGCATCACATCTCTAAAATTTATTATTTTTATGAGTATTTTTTTAATAAAAAAATTTAATATTTTTGTGAATAATTTATTATTTTTATGGATATTTTTATTATTTTTGTAGATATTTTAACCATTTTTCTTCTGTAAAAAAAAATAGTACTTTTGTTAGTATTTTTACAATTTTTTTCGATACTACAACAATGATAAAGATACCTACAAAAATAAAAAATAATCCCCATTTTTTTTGGGTACCATAGACTACTACTTCAAAAATAGAGCAATGTTATTTTTAAGTTAACAAATTAGATCAAAGTTTTAGTTCTAAATAACATTACTTTCAAAAATAATCTTAGTTTTTTTGTGTGTTGAAAGTCAATATATATGACCAGTTGAGAAGGTCAACATAGGACCTGTTTCAAGACCTAGTAAGCAGCCACATTAAAGGGCTAGATGACAAACCATTAGACAAGAAATAGTCTAAGCGTTCTGATCTTTCAAACTTTTGAAGAGCCTTGGGCTTGTATGTCAACTTTCTCCTATATATATATGCTACCATTGCATGTAAGAACTCCAACCCAATTACTACTCTTCACAGCCTAAATCATTCAATTCTCACCACTACAAGAACCCAATAAGAGATCATTCAGAAATCTCTTCTAAACCCGAAGTTGTAAACCATTCAACACCAAAGTATATCACAGTTTTAGTTGCAATAACAAGAAGAAAGATCATTATAGGAGTGGACATGGCCCTTCAAGCTTCAAGCTTTTTGTGTGCTTCTTGTTTTGTGTCCTCCCGGCATCAAAGAGGAAACATTGCAGCCACTATCAGTCTTCCAAAACTCCGGACAAGTACTCTTTCCCAGCCAAAGCTCCCAACTAGAGGTTTGGTGGAGGAATTGGCGTTGAGCAACGCAACTACCACCACAACTTACATTGAAAAACAGTCGAATTCGCCTAAGAATAATGGTTCCGATCCCATGGTGATTGCAAAGTTGTATGCAATAATGGAGGCTGTCGCGGATAGAGTGGAGATGCACAAGAATATTGGAGAGCAGAGAAACAATTGGAACATCCTGCTTTTAACATCCATCAATGCAATCACNGTTATTTTAACCATTTTTCTTCTGTAAAAAAAAAATAGTACTTTTGTTAGTATTTTTACAATTTTTTTCGATACTACAACAATGATAAAGATATCTACAAAAATAAAAAATAATCCCCATTTTTTTTGGGTACCATAGACTACTACTTCAAAAATAGAGCAATGTTATTTTTAAGTTAACAAATTAGATCAAAGTTTTAGTTCTAAATAACATTACTTTCAAAAATAATCTTAGTTTTTTTGTGTGTTGAAAGTCAATATATATGACCAGTTGAGAAGGTCAACATAGGACCTGTTTCAAGACCTAGTAAGCAGCCACATTAAAGGGCTAGATGACAAACCATTAGACAAGAAATAGTCTAAGCGTTCTGATCTTTCAAACTTTTGAAGAGCCTTGGGCTTGTATGTCAACTTTCTCCTATATATATATGCTACCATTGCATGTAAGAACTCCAACCCAATTACTACTCTTCACAGCCTAAATCATTCAATTCTCACCACTACAAGAACCCAATAAGAGATCATTCAGAAATCTCTTCTAAACCCGAAGTTGTAAACCATTCAACACCAAAGTATATCACAGTTTTAGTTGCAATAACAAGAAGAAAGATCATTATAGGAGTGGACATGGCCCTTCAAGCTTCAAGCTTTTTGTGTGCTTCTTGTTTTGTGTCCTCCCGGCATCAAAGAGGAAACATTGCAGCCACTATCAGTCTTCCAAAACTCCGGACAAGTACTCTTTCCCAGCCAAAGCTCCCAACTAGAGGTTTGGTGGAGGAATTGGCGTTGAGCAACGCAACTACCACCACAACTTACATTGAAAAACAGTCGAATTCGCCTAAGAATAATGGTTCCGATCCCATGGTGATTGCAAAGTTGTATGCAATAATGGAGGCTGTCGCGGATAGAGTGGAGATGCACAAGAATATTGGAGAGCAGAGAAACAATTGGAACATCCTGCTTTTAACATCCATCAATGCAATCACACTGGCTGCTGCAACCATGACTGGAATTGCAGCAACAAGTTCTATCGGTGCTCCAATGATGGCGGTGAAGACCGCTTCTACTCTAATGTATTTGTCAGCAACAGGGATGCTGTTGATTATGAATAAACTTCAACCATCCCAACTTGTTGAAGAACAACGAAACGCTTCAAGGTTTTTCAAGCAGCTTCATGGACAGATTCACACACATGTTTCAATTGGTAATCCTACAGTTGTTGATGTGAAGGAAGCAATGGAGAAAGTCTTGGCTCTTGATAGGGCCTATCCTCTTCCTCTAATCGGCGTGATGCTTGAAAAATTCCCATCTGCAGTGGAACCTGCAGTTTGGTGGCCCCAACAACGACGGAGAAAAATGAAAGAGAACAATGGGAAAATGGATTGGAATGGTTGGAATGGAAAGTTGGAAGAGGAAATGAGAGAACTAGTTGGGATTATGGAGAGGAACGATAAAACAGACTATTTGAGATTAGCTGAAAAAGCAGTGAAACTGAACAAAGCATTGGCCTTAGCCGGTCCTTTACTAACAGGTCTAGCAGCAGTTGGGTCTGCTTTTGCAGGATCTTCTTCACTTGGTGCTTGGGCCACGATGCTTGGTGTCGTTGGTGGCGCTTTGGCAAGCATAGTGAACACAGTCGAGCATGGCTGGCAAGTAGGGATGGTGTTTGAGATGTACAGGAGCAACGCTGGTTTCTTTAGGCTGATGGAGGAGTCCGTAGAGTCAAATTTGAATGAAAGTGATGTGGGTAGGAGAGAGAATGGGGAATTGTTTGAAATGAAGGTAGCTTTGCACCTTGGAAGGAGTCTCTCAGAGCTAAGGGATCTTGCAGCTTCATCATCAATGAATGGGAAGGCCCAAGAAGAATTTGCTAGCAAGCTTTTCTGAAATTTTGATACTAAAAATAGACCGTTGCATGTACATATAGCACTAACTTCAGTTTTTGTACAAAACTGTCTATAAACTGCTAACCGGCCCATTGATTAATTCATTCAATGTAATTTTGCCCGCATTTGGACATTGCCAATGTGCATTATATAAACTGGCCTTTTTTTTTTTGTGTAAAGTTGACTCAACTACTGTTGATGGCTGTTGTCGTGCATTCATGCGGGATTTTCAAATGATTAGTAAAATTTGGGTGATTTGTTTTACACATAACTCCTCTTAAGCATCAACTTTTAGCGTAGTCCATTGGTAGAGCTTGACATCTACTAATTCAAAAATCCCATATTTAACCCTTTTCATACGCATTAAAGGCCAGCCACTCTTGTTCTTCAGGAGATATATTCTAAACTCGCTTGACTATAGTAACAAATATTCAAGCTCGAGAGAGTAGTCGAAACAAGGATAGATACTAAATAGCAAAAAAAAAAAAAAAANAGATGAAATAGCCTAAAATTTCAAAGAGATGACAAACTGCAAAGGCAAGAAAAAGTCCAAGCCACCAGGTTTTTCAAACTTTTGAGCAGTAGCCTGTAGACCACTTCAGCCTTGGGTTTGTATGTCAGCTTCCTCCTATATATATGCTACCATGTAAGAACAACAATCCAAATCACCTTCTCTTCAAAGCCTAAATCATTCAACACTCACCACTACAAGAGCCCAAGAAGAGATCTAAACCATTCACACCCTCGTATATCACCATTTTAGTTGCAATAATAAGAGAGATCATTACAGGAGTGGACATGTCAACCCTTCAAGCTTCAACCGTTTTGTGTGCTACTGGTTCTATTTCCTCCCGGTGTCAAAGACGAAACAGTACTGTAGCCGCTATCAATCTTCCGAGACTCCGGACAAGCACTCTCTCCCTGCCAAACCTCCCAACTAGAGGTTTGGTGAAGGAACTAGAGTTGAGAAATGGCAATTACCCTACAACAACCACCACTTTCATTGAAAAACACTTCAATTCACCTAAGATTAGGCCTGAAACCAATGATTCTGATCCCATGATGATTACAAAGCTATATACTATAATGGAGGCTGTTGCGGATAGAGTGGAGATGCACAAGAATATTGGAGAGCAGAGAAACAATTGGAACAGCCTGCTTTTAACATCCATCAATGCAATCACTCTTGCTGCTGCAACAATGACTGGAATTGCAGTGACGAGTGCTAACGGTGCTCCTATGATGGCGGTGAAGACCGCTTCTACTCTAATGTATTTGTCGGCAACAGGGATGTTGTTGCTTATGAATAAAATTCAACCATCCCAACTTGTTGAAGAACAACGAAACGCTGCAAGGTTGTTCAAGCAGCTTCTTGGACAGTTTCAAACACTTATTTCAGTTGGTAGTCCTACTATGGCTGATGTGAAGGAAGCAATGGAGAAAGTTTTGGTTCTTGACAGGGCCTATCCTCTTCCTCTACTTGGTACGATGCTCGACAAATTCCCATCTACAGTGGAACCAGCAGGATGGTGGCCTAAACAACAACGACGAAAAATGAAAGAGAATAATGGGAAAATGGATTGGAATGGTTGGAATGGAAAGTTGGAAGAGGAAATGAGAGAGATAGTTGGGATTATGGAGAGGAAAGATAAAGCAGACTACTTGAGATTGAGCGAAAAAGCAGTGAAACTTAACAAAGCATTGGCTATAACTGGTCCTTTACTAACAGGTCTAGCAGCTGTTGGGTCTGCATTTGCAGGATCATCTCCTCATGGTTCTTGGGCTGCGGTACTTGGTGTCGTTGGTGGTGCTTTGGCAAGCATAGTGAACACAGTCGAGCATGGCGGGCAAGTTGGGATGCTGTTTGAGATGTACAGGAGCAATGCTGGTTTCTTTAGATTCATGGAGGAGTCCATAGAATCAAATTTGAATGAAAGTGATGTGGGAAGGAGAGAGAATGGGGAATTGTTTGAAATGAAGATAGCTTTGCAACTTGGAAGGAGTCTCTCAGAGCTAAGGGATCTTGCAGCTTCATCATCAATAAAGGGGGAGGCCCATGAAGAATTTGCTAGCAAGCTTTTCTGAAATTTGATCCTAAAAATAGACCGTTGCATGTACCCGTAGCACTAACCGCAGTTTATGTACAAATCGGCCTATAAACTGCTAACCCATTGATTAATTCATTCAATGTAATTTTGCAGCATTTGGACATTGCCAATGTGCATTAGATAAACTCGTTTTTTTAAATTTTTTTTTTTTTTTTTGTATATAAAGTTGACACAACAACTACTGTTGATGGCTATTGTCATGCATTCACGTGGGACATTAAAATGATCAGAAAAATCTTGGGCGAATTGCACTTCACACCCTGAAAGATTTAAAAATTCTCGCTTTAAACGGTCAATGATTAAATTTTTCACATTGCATCCATATATTAAAAATGTTAAAATATGATCCTTCCGTTACTCATTCTCTCACTACTCAGTACTCATTGGTCTGATAAATAGGATATAATATTCAAAATTTTGGATCAAAGTTTGAAACACTCGAGACTATTTACTTTTCTCCTTTGAACATATCTGTTATTGATGTCATTGAATTGCTTACCTCACTGCTGATCCATTTCAACCCACAATATACTGCTATGCTAGAACACCTGACTGTGCCTTGTACATGTTATGTATATGCATGAAGATATCATGAGATTAGTTGGATTTTGCTCTTCTTACATACTCTAATACAGTGCTGAAACCGAGGTAGAGATGAGAAATAGAGGTTAATAATTATGCATATTGACCGATATAATAATCGGGACAAAAGTTTTGTTTATTTGATTTAGTTTGATAACCATTAAATAATGTGCCAAATATTAAACATACGTAATATGCATGGCAATGAGATCTCTTTTTCAGTAAATATGCTTGGTTATTATAACATGAATTAGACGTCTAAAAATTAAATTTACATTATAGTAATAGTTGATTTTCTTTATGAACCTGTTGGNTAAATATGCTTGGTTACTATAACATGAATTAGACGTCTAAAAATTAAATTTACATTATAGTAATAGTTGATTTTCTTTATGAACCTGTTGGTTTTTTTTTGTGTAGTTGTTAGTGAAACGAAATAAACTCTTATTCTCTCTCACCTGTGATTAGTGATAATGATGTACACAAGTGGATTTATGCACAAGCAAATCAGTTGAGTGTGTGATGTAAAATAATTAATAAAACAATTAATAATAAGAGATAAATATTAGGTGGTTGGGTCTGACTGACCTAAGAACTCTATTAATGAGAGATTATAAGGTACTTGAAGAGAGAGAGAGAGGGGAGCAAGAGTATGCTTAAGATGTAGTGTGTGAGATCTGTTCCCATGTGTAGGGGGTTTATAATTTATAGACACAAAACCTTATCTTACGGTAGTGAATATATCCCGATAATTGCTCACATTGAGTTTTCCTAAACTCTTCACTTCCACTCCCAACCCCCCCTCTTTCTCTCTCTCTATCACAGATCCCTCAACCCTTTGCCCCTCCCAGCAATAAACAACATCGCTGATGCCACCACCACTCCCAACCCAGCTATCACCACCACTCCCAACCCCCTCTCCCTCTCCAACCCTCCCTCTCTCTCTCTCTATCATAGATCTCTCAGCCTCTTGCTCCCAGCAACAAACAACATCGCAACTGCCACCACCACTCCTAACCCAGCTGCCACCACCACTCCCAACCCCTCTCTCTACCTCTTTTTTCTCTCTCCTTCTTAGATCCCCCATCCCCCATGCCCCTTCCCTGCAACAAACCCCAGGTGCCACCTCCACCAGTCCCAATCCCCATTCCTCTCTCTCTACCTCTTTCTTCTCTCTCCTTCTCAGATCTCCCAAGCCCCTCGCCCCCTTTCTGCAACAAAACCCAACTGTCGCCACCACCACCACTTCAAACCCACCACTCCCAACCCCCTTTTTTCTCTCTCTACCTCTTAGATCCCCTAGGCCCCTAGCCCTCTCCTTGGAACGAACCCCAACTGCCACCACCACCACCACTTCAAATCCACCACTCCCAACCCCTTTTCTCTCTCTACCTCTCTTTTCTCTCTTCCCCTCAAATCCCCCAGGCCCCTCGTCCTTTCCTTGCAACAAACCCCAGTTGCACCCAACCTCCCACCCACTCAACTGCCATCACCACCACTGTTGGTTTTTTTTTATGGAGTCTAGTTTGTATATGTGATCCGGATGATGACCCGACCCGAAGTAATGTTGTGTGGTTTTTAATGGAAAATTTTTTAAGACTTAGTCCATGGTGATTAGGGTTTGTTGTGGATTGTACCTCGTCCTTTCCTTGCAATAAACCCTGTTGTTTTGGTGATTAGGGTTTGTTGTGGATTGTACAGCCGCTCTCTGTAATTCAACTCTCTCAATAGTGAAATCCCTGCAGCTTCGTGGACGTAGGCAAATTGCCGAACCACGTAAAATCTGTGTCTCGTTCTTTCTTGTTTCTTATTGCTTTATATTCTTGATTTGTTATTCGATTGTGTGTGTTTGTTAGTGGATTTAAATCGTATTAAATCCCAACAACCACAACTCCAAACTCTCTCTATCTCTCTCATTCTCAGGCCCCTGCCCCCTTCCCCCACTGTACCCAACCCCAACTGCCACTGCCATCACCACTCCAAACCCACCGCTCCCAGTTAAACTAATTATCCTAGTTGATGATAATTTTTGATTAATTTTTAATTATTCTAGTTGATTAATTTTAATATAATGTAATGGTTTAATGTTAATCTTTGATTAGTTTTTATAATTGTATAATTAATGTTGTTAAGATAGTAAATTATTGATAATTAATGGACAAGATTGTCTTAAACAATGTTGGACATGTTATAAAGGGGTAATTTTAGAATTAGATAAATTTTGTTCCCTAACATTACTATTTTCAGTTAGTCAAACTACTGGTAGAAAGATGGAAGCGTGTTCATGTTATGTTATGATTTTTAAATCTTAGGGGTCGCCTTGTAATTTTAGAAATGTCAAAGGGTCTCCGTATCATTTAGTCAAATGTCAAGGGGTATAAATATAATTTAATCCATTATATTTGTCCCAAGTTGATTGATTTGACCTTTTCAAAATAGCAAAGACAAAACGGTTGAGTTGGCCAAAGCCTTTGCTCCGTTGGCCGTTTCAAAAATGGACTTGACTACGATACTAAATAAAAAAAAATCCAGCATCACATCTCTAAAATTTATTATTTTTATGAGTATTTTTTTAATAAAAAAATTTAATATTTTTGTGAATAATTTATTATTTTTATGGATATTTTTATTATTTTTGTAGTTATTTTAACCATTTTTCTTCTGTAAAAAAAAAATAGTACTTTTGTTAGTATTTTTACAATTTTTTTCGATACTACAACAATGATAAAGATATCTACAAAAATAAAAAATAATCCCCATTTTTTTTGGGTACCATAGACTACTACTTCAAAAATAGAGCAATGTTATTTTTAAGTTAACAAATTAGATCAAAGTTTTAGTTCTAAATAACATTACTTTCAAAAATAATCTTAGTTTTTTTGTGTGTTGAAAGTCAATATATATGACCAGTTGAGAAGGTCAACATAGGACCTGTTTCAAGACCTAGTAAGCAGCCACATTAAAGGGCTAGATGACAAACCATTAGACAAGAAATAGTCTAAGCGTTCTGATCTTTCAAACTTTTGAAGAGCCTTGGGCTTGTATGTCAACTTTCTCCTATATATATATGCTACCATTGCATGTAAGAACTCCAACCCAATTACTACTCTTCACAGCCTAAATCATTCAATTCTCACCACTACAAGAACCCAATAAGAGATCATTCAGAAATCTCTTCTAAACCCGAAGTTGTAAACCATTCAACACCAAAGTATATCACAGTTTTAGTTGCAATAACAAGAAGAAAGATCATTATAGGAGTGGACATGGCCCTTCAAGCTTCAAGCTTTTTGTGTGCTTCTTGTTTTGTGTCCTCCCGGCATCAAAGAGGAAACATTGCAGCCACTATCAGTCTTCCAAAACTCCGGACAAGTACTCTTTCCCAGCCAAAGCTCCCAACTAGAGGTTTGGTGGAGGAATTGGCGTTGAGCAACGCAACTACCACCACAACTTACATTGAAAAACAGTCGAATTCGCCTAAGAATAATGGTTCCGATCCCATGGTGATTGCAAAGTTGTATGCAATAATGGAGGCTGTCGCGGATAGAGTGGAGATGCACAAGAATATTGGAGAGCAGAGAAACAATTGGAACATCCTGCTTTTAACATCCATCAATGCAATCACACTGGCTGCTGCAACCATGACTGGAATTGCAGCAACAAGTTCTATCGGTGCTCCANCCTGCTTTTAACATCCATCAATGCAATCACACTGGCTGCTGCAACCATGACTGGAATTGCAGCGACAAGTTCTATCGGTGCTCCAATGATGGCGGTGAAGACCGCTTCTACTCTAATGTATTTGTCAGCAACAGGGATGCTGTTGATTATGAATAAACTTCAACCATCCCAACTTGTTGAAGAACAACGAAACGCTTCAAGGTTTTTCAAGCAGCTTCATGGACAGATTCACACACATGTGTCAATTGGTAATCCTACAGTTGTTGATGTGAAGGAAGCAATGGAGAAAGTCTTGGCTCTTGATAGGGCCTATCCTCTTCCTCTAATCGGCGTGATGCTTGAAAAATTCCCATCTGCAGTGGAACCTGCAGTTTGGTGGCCCCAACAACGACGGAGAAAAATGAAAGAGAACAATGGGAAAATGGATTGGAATGGTTGGAATGGAAAGTTGGAAGAGGAAATGAGAGAACTAGTTGGGATTATGGAGAGGAACGATAAAACAGACTATTTGAGATTAGCTGAAAAAGCAGTGAAACTGAACAAAGTATTGGCCTTAGCCGGTCCTTTACTAACAGGTCTAGCAGCAGTTGGGTCTGCTTTTGCAGGATCTTCTTCACTTGGTGCTTGGGCCACGATGCTTGGTGTCGTTGGTGGCGCTTTGGCAAGCATAGTGAACACAGTCGAGCATGGCTGGCAAGTAGGGATGGTGTTTGAGATGTACAGGAGCAACGCTGGTTTCTTTAGGCTGATGGAGGAGTCCGTAGAGTCAAATTTGAATGAAAGTGATGTGGGTAGGAGAGAGAATGGGGAATTGTTTGAAATGAAGGTAGCTTTGCACCTTGGAAGGAGTCTCTCAGAGCTAAGGGATCTTGCAGCTTCATCATCAATGAATGGGAAGGCCCAAGAAGAATTTGCTAGCAAGCTTTTCTGAAATTTTGATACTAAAAATAGACCGTTGCATGTACATATAGCACTAACTTCAGTTTTTGTACAAAACTGTCTATAAACTGCTAACCGGCCCATTGATTAATTCATTCAATGTAATTTTGCCCGCATTTGGACATTGCCAATGTGCATTATATAAACTGGCCTTTTTTTTTTTGTGTAAAGTTGACTCAACTACTGTTGATGGCTGTTGTCGTGCATTCATGTGGGATTTTCAAATGATTAGTAAAATTTGGGTGATTTGTTTTACACATAACTCCTCTTAAGCATCAACTTTTAGCGTAGTTCATTGGTAGAGCTTGACATCTACTAATTCAAAAATTCCATGTTTAACACTTTTCATACGCATTAAAGGCCAGCCACCTTTGTTCTTCAAGAGATATGTTCTAAACTCGCTTGACTATAGTAACAAATATTCAAGCTCGAGAGAGTAGTCGAAACAAGGATAGATACTAAATAGCGAAAAAAAAAAAAACTCCTCTTATGCATATGTGCCCATTGTCTGAGACACAACATCTTTAAGATGCTGCAATATAATTTGGGCTCATATGCAAGTTGTACCGAAAAATTTAAGCCTAAGCTTGGCGTTTGTCTAAACTTACATATTAACACATTGCTTTTCCCTTTCACAGCCGATGTGCGACGACTTTTTGGGCATCTATCACATGTGAGTTCCTTTCCCTTTCACAGCCGATGTGCGACGACTTTTTGGGCATCTATCACATGTGAGTTCCAGCAATATCAAGTTCCTGGGATGACCATTAGAGGTTAGCCACTCCAACCGGCTCAACAAATTGCATTTTTTTAGCTATTTTGCTGAGCCAATCCAAAATATTTGGCTCCAACCGGCTCTCCATTTGGCTCGCTAAACTGTCTCCCTCCATTTTCAGTCATCACTTGTGGCCAACGACACTCTCTCTCATCAGATCTTTCTACCCCCAAATCTGGTTGTTCTTTGTCACTGGTCTCTCTCATTCCCCACCACCATCGTCGATCGCTGTTCGTGGCCAACAAAGGGCAAACCCAGCAAGTTCAGAGGTGGGGGAGGCGAAACTCCACACCGGTTGCATCTCAAACACTACCCTCAAACCAGCGTCGCCGAGTTCGTAGCTCTGCAATACAACACATCTGTCTCAAATTCTCACTGAACAAACCCCACTAGTTCGATCTTTTTTTCCCCAAAGCATACAGATTTGTTTAGGTAATGCAATTTGGGGGGGTTTTTGATAAACTTTTCGGATTGATAATTTGGGATTTAGTTGGATTGCCAAGAATGTGTTGATCATGGTACAGATATCATTACTTTTTTTTATAACATACTGCGGTATTGTCATCGTTTTGGATAGCTGAACTTTTGGTGCCACTATATAAATTGTTGATTTTTCAGTATGNGGATAAACATGTTTAGAACTGAATTTTTTTAGGTAATGCAATTTGGGTGGGTTTTGATTAACTTTTCGGATTGAGAATTTGGGATTTAGTTGGATTGCCAAGAATGTGTTGATCATGGTACAAATATCATGTTTGTTTGGAATACTGGACTGGAATGTTTTAATGGCAGAAACCTTCGGCTTTATGTGTTATGCCCAAATGGTGTTCGATAAAATGTATTTTAGATAGATTTTCTTTGGCATTGAGCAAAACCTATTTGGAGTGTTTGTTTGTTTGGCTGGAAAACTGAGTCAAAGCAAAGAAAATGGAATTGAAATTTTGTGTTTATGCCGTTTGCATACAGCTTTGGTGTAGTGTGTTTAGATAAGTGATTTTTTTTACCTCGGTTTCCAAATGTTCAGCAATCTAACATTTCAATGTTTAAGCAAATAATCAAACTAACTGATGAAAAAAAAAGAGCAAAGCATCAAAGGTGATTGTGAAATTTGTTCAGATCTCCAATACTTTTGTGGGTCTGTGTTGCCACGGGTTGCAATCAAGATGTGTTGAAAGTTGGTCAAATGAATGTATGTAGTGAGGCATTGTCATTGTATTGTGATCATGTTATTTCATTGGCATGAACCGTGGTGTTAGTTGGGAATATCGTAATTTCATACCTGCGGTGCTATTGTCTTTGAATCTAATATATGACAAGAAGCTTAGTTATGGACACTATTCCCTCGTTTCCAGGTTTGGGCTATTGCAGGCAGTCTGCTCTTGTGTAGGCAGTCTGTGTTAGCTCAGCTTGGAAGGTGCTTGGTTGGGGATGGTCTGATGATCTGAGGAGTCAGTTATCTGGTCTGATTGCTCTTGTCTGATGATTTGGTGTTTGGGCAATTGGTGTGTGCAATCTGAGCATTCTGTTCTGATTTGCACTGCACTGTGTTGATTGTTTAATTGCTTATCTGGGCAATT